AGCAGTAGTAGTAGTAGTAGTAGTAGTAGTAGTAGGTAGGTTGTAGTGGTAGTAGTAGTAGTAGTAGTAGTAGTAGTAGTAGTATTAGTAGTAGTAGTAGTAGTAGTAGTACTAGTAGTACTAGTAGTAACAACAGTAGTGGTAGTAATGGGGGGTTGTAGTAGTGGTAGTAGTAGTCGTCGTCGTCGTAGTAGTTGCAGAGACTGAGTGCACGATGATCCGAGAGGTGGGGCAGAAAAAACTGTCGTTTTGGACATGTTGGTTTGGTCCAAAATGACTAAAACGGCCGGCCACTTTAACCCCCCAAATCGACCAAAACTGTTTCCACAATCTTCGCCTCTCCAAAACAACCAAAACGACCATCGTCCTGCCGCCCGCCAAAACGGCAAAAACGACCAGTTTTAATCGCGGTTCTGTTCTGCCGATGAAATGTAGTAGCCGTAGTATTTGCGCGTCTACATGGGGATCCGGCCAGTTGCAACAAGAACAACGACAACAACGACGACGACAACAATAACCCTGCAAACCCGACCAAGCAACAACTTCCCCAACAATGTTGACAGCACAGTTGGTGCATGCTTATTTTTGCGAAAGGGACGCATCACCTGGCAAGCAATCCGCGATGCCTCCGGGAACTGCGCTTCTGACTTTGGTGCGGGTCACCCGGCAAGCAATCTGCGATGCCTCGATGCCCCGGGAACTGCGCTTTTGCCTTGGGTGGAGAGATTTGTCCGAAGCCCTTTCGTTAAACAGTTCGGGACATGCCCACGACCCTGCACTGGCACGACATCTCTTGGTGTAACTAATGCATATGCCTTGGTAACAGCATTTTACCTCAAGCTTCTCCTGAAGCCCTGGCGTGGCCTTCAATGCAAAGCCGATGCACTCTGGCTATCTAGTCGACCCGACCATCTGCGTTTTCAAATCTGCACAGTCGGCTCACAAGATCATCTTCGCGACCGGTGGCCCGCATGGGACTGAGGATCTCAGGCGCTGCTTTTGAGGCCTTTGCTTGCCAATAAGTCCTGTG